TTGGCAGGTTCTCTGACGCTGTAACACCAGAAAAGCTCCTGAGCTCTACAAGTCCCAACAGATAGACCATCAGCACTGGTTGTGTCTGCTGACCTTCACGGCAGCATCCCCTAACGAAGGCCACGCGAGGGGGAGCCTAGCCGGTTTATGGGCCATGTGCATTTAACTGTATGAATCAGTTCCCATGCTCGTGTTTGGAACTAAAACTCTACAAAGCCTGACGACAGCCGTTGCGCTTAGATGCAACAAACCCAAAGGCCGGACCCTCCTGAAACACTAGGTTCTGCGGTCAAATGAGCGTTAATGGCCAGCACAAATTACCTGTCATTCACTTCCCCCTAGGCTGGATTTGGCCAATATTTGCAGATAACTACCAGCCCATAGTTAACACTATCAATGTTAACCTATTTCCTACGACCCTTCCTGGTTGAGCCGCAGAGTAAGTCTCAGCAGAAGATGGCCAGCCCTTGGCACAGACATCGTGCATGGTGCCTCTCTCACCTGCTTTGACAGCACAAGGACACACAGCCCAGCATCTGCAAGGTGCGTGGCAGTGGGGAGAGAGCCACATGGCACACACGTACCTGTCGCTGCAGTGGTTTGCTCTTCTCTGTACCATTACTGGGGGTTCTCGCAACAGATTTTCACTAGCTACTTCGACATTGTTGCTAAGATTGCCTCAGGTAAAGAAAGCTATAATACAGTCTGGAGAACTAAAATGACCATTTAGACCATGCTCTTCAATCTTTTTGCTCTTAAGGAGGACATCAGGGCTGTTGTTCCTGCCTGTTGGGTCTGTCATACGCAATCATTTTGCTATATCCAGCGAACTACACCACTTTTTTTCTTCTTTTTTTTTTTCCTGCCAGATGGTAACAAATGAATCCAATCAATTAATTACTTTTCCTGAAGACATCTTGCCAACACAAGGTTTGCAGTGTCCATGTTGGCAGAACTGTAAGAGTTTTCGAAATCCCATGTGTTATTGTTGGCGTTGCATCACGTAAACCACAAGCTGATTAAGATCCACCTTATGAGTAGTTAATGGGTCTGTCCCCAGTCATCTGGCATTTGTGGAGATGATTCTCATATTACTGCGCCAAGTGTGTAAAGCATTCCCTTTTCCCCAGCGCTATTTCTTAAAGAAATTGAAGCATAATTTCAGCCTGGCGTTGGGCAGCAGCAAATGTGGTCGAAGCAGACATGTGTGGGCAGAGAGCGCCATCTCCTGCTACCAAACAATAATTTCTCTGAGGTAACAAAACGGCTAATTTGGTATTTCTCCTTTGGAATTGCCATCTGTGCCGGTAAAAGATGGAGAAAAAAAGCCATCTAAGACTGATGAAAGATTGAGATGTAAGCCTTAGCACTATCTGAATATCCTGTAGGGAGACTTTGCAAATCCTTGATGAAGTTTCTGAATTAAATAAAAAAGCTGCTTAAAATTGCAAGGAGCTGAGCATCCCAAATTTGTTTCTGTTTTCAGGCTACTTAGTCAAGAATGAAATCACATCAGATTTTAACAGACCTAAGATTTGTACTATATTATGGTCCTCCAGCCTACAGAGAGTCTATGCGTCTAATACTACATATGATGCATTTGATAAAGACTCGGAAAAGCTCAGAAATGATACCTCTAGTACTGTCCCAAAATGACTGGGTAGAAAACTAGTGTAAATAAGCAATATGCAAAAATAGCATACAAAGTGCATGCAGAAGAATTATGTACATACAAATATTACAAAATATTACCGATGTTACAAAAATACACTACATATTACATAAATACATTTGATTACATAAATACAAATATTACAAATATTACAAAATTTACATAAATACAAATACAAAAGAATTACAACGGTTGTATTAAGTACAAGTGTATTTCATGTACATTTTATCCCACATAAATGGTACATATGTTAGTGTACACTTTCAAAGAAATCCGTGCTGAAAAAAATAAACCGAGATATTATTTATAGCTGATGCCTGAGAAATTGTTCTCCACCACGATGTTAAATGATGTGGTTGCCATCCTGTTACCCAGCAGTTTTCTGTTCTTCCTAACACCATGGGAAACCTCAGGTCTCCAGAGCATTCACAGCTCCAAAGGGTTCAAACAGAGCAGAGATACTAAGTGCATTAGAAAATCAATCTGTGAATGTAGGTATGCTGCTTTTGACAGCGTTCTCTAAACTGAACGGACAGCCAGGGTGAGGGCCTGTGAGCCCAGCCTCATTAATGGAATAGAAGAGTTTGTTCTAGAAACTTACCTTAAGGACACCAGTGACAAAGAAGTTGTCACACAATGAAATTGAAAATCATGCCTCCTCATGTGCGCTGTACAGGACTTACACATATTAAAGAATTATTAAAGAATTTGCAAAAGCAAATGGATTACTGGATTTAAAGGACTATGAATACTAAACGTGTACACGGAACAGAGATTCAGGAAGGGTTAAAAGACAAAGCATCTGTTATCAGCTAGCCTTAAAAATAGCATTCCTGAACTAAATACAGCTTCTTACTTAAAATGCAAATTACTAAATTACCCTGTGTTATTTTTATGATTGTCTGAGTTCAGAAGGTATTTGACAACTGTTCAGCAAACCAGAAAGATTCAGTCTGCAGCCACAGAGACTGCAAGACACAGAAAGAAAGTTGATGAAGCTCTATTAGAAAGAGACCTGTAAAGGACAAGAAGGCAATCAAGAATGGCTGGCGTGGATTTATGAAGGACAAATCACACTTGGCCAACCTGACTGCATCCTATGATGAAATGGCTGGCTACAAGGACAAGGAGGGAGCAGTGGACACAATAGATCTGGACTTCAGTACAGCTTTTGAAATCATTTCCCACAGCACTTTTACTCACAAACTGAGGAAATAACAGCATGAACAAGCTGGCTGCTAGATGCATTGAAAACTGCCTGGGCTGGCGGGCTCAGTGGGTGGCAACTGGTGGCTTGGCCATCTGCCTGAAAGCCTGTAACAAGTGGAGTACTCTAGGGGTTGATACTAGGGCCCATATAGCTCATTGTCTTCATCAAAAACCTGGACCATGGGACAGGATGCACCCTCAGCATATTTTAAGATGATGCTGAGTTAGGGGGAGTGGTTGACAGAGCTTCAGTTCTGAGGGACTTGGAGAAGCTTAAGGACTGGGCTGACAGAAGCCTTAACATGTTCCACAAGGAGAAACACAAACAAGGAGAAACGCTCAGCCCTGCACCTAAGGCAGAATAAGCTCTTCCACCGGTACCGGCTGGGAAGAAACAGGCTGGCTACCAGCTTTACCAAAAAGGACCTGGGGTTATGTGGAAGCCAAGTCCAATGAGCAAACAGTGTGCTCTCATCCCAAAGAGGGCAATCACTCAGCAGCCTACGTTAGAAGGATTATGGCCAATAGACTGAGGAAAGTTATGGTCCTCCTCTGCTTGGTGTTGGTGAGGGCCTGGCTGGACACAGGGTCCAGTTTGGTGCTTCCCCAGATCAGGATGGGGCGTCTCCAGTGAAGTCTACGAAGATGATCAGGATCTAAATCACATCACCTTGAAGGAGAGGTTGGGGGATCCTAGGCCCATCTTGCCTGTTGAGGAGTGTAAGGGGTCACATAACAGCAGCCTACAACTAGTTGAAGGGGGTTTACAAATACGACAGATCTAAAGTCTGTAGGCAAATCAACAGAAAACCATGGGCAGAAGCGGTTCGGGAGGTCCAAAGAGGACATTATGAAAGAAACTATTTAATTGGAAGGTAGTTAACCCAGATAAATGATGAAATTTTCATTTTGGATGGTTTTGAGAGCTGTCAAGACAAAGCCTCAACAGATGTGATTTACCTTTGGTGGGGAGGCTGGACTATGCAACACCCAGAGGTCCTTTCCCACCAACCTGTTTATGATTGTGCACAAATGTAAAGCTAATGACTTTCCTGCTCTGTGATTTTTGTTTATTGTGGGAAGATAGCCTTAAAATGGTCACCAAAATGTTGTCTGGGCTTTTATTATTAATTTGGGAATGTGTTTAAGTAGGCACACGAGCAAAAATAAAAATACTCTGCCATCTGTTGATATCTGGCCAAGTGCAGATGTTCTTTTCTGAAAACAGAGTATTTCCTTGCCACATTTAAACCGTTATCTGCTATTTCAGCTGGCAATATAAAAATAGCAAAGAAATGCAGCGCATTTTGAAAATCCACCGATTGTAAAGTAATTCAGCGTGCTATTTATTCAGCTTGCAAAAGCCACGGAAGCGCCTGTAGCCAGACTCCAGGAGTCCCCAAAATATTCAAAACTCCGACATAACCACCCTTGCTTCTCTGAATGACATTAGCTTGCGCTATTTACCGTTGTTGTTGTTTTTTTTTTTTAAAGTATGCTAAAGGTCACCGCTGTGATCAGTTGTGACTGAAGTATGACCTATTCCTGCCTTCTCCTCCCTCACACCTTCATCCTCCCTTCTGCACCCCAGGAGAGGACACACAGCACCCATCTTCCTTCCCTTCCCTTCTCCTTCCCTTTCTCTTTTCTTTTTCTCTTTCCTCTTCCTCTTCTTCTCCTTCTCCTCTCTTCCCTTCCCTTCCCTTCTCCTTCCCCTCACCACGGCGGCCATGCCGGGGAGCAGCCCGGCTCCTCTGGCCGCTTATCCTCGTTGCAATCCCGCCCTGCGCCGCTATAATTAACGCCCTATTTGTGGTTAATTAAACCCCGAGGAGCCAGAGCGTTGGGAACACGGTCGGGCCGTACAGCCGGCAACCCTGAGGAGCCAGAGCGTTGGCAATACCGACGCCGGCAGCCGCCCCCTCACAGAGGCAGCCCCCGTTTCCCCCCCCTCGCCCCCCGGCCCCC